GAGAAAATTTAGGTGGCATAGTCTAGTGAAAAAGTGACCAGAGAGTGGTCCAAGACCTGAACTCAAGGCTGTTTGCCTTCACTTTTTATGAAAATAAGTTGCTCCATGTCCTCAACAAAGTGAGCTAATTTGAGACTCATTAACCCAAAGACGACATTGGCCAAAAGATTTCGGATCTTCCAAAAGCCAGAGAACAAATCTACCCATAAACCCTTTAAATGCACCCCCAATATCCATTTCCCTTTTACTTTCTTAGGATATTCAGCTTTGACCCCTTGTCTTGCGGTTCATTTCATGTTTGTCTAGGGAAGGGGTGTCCAATCTTTTGGCTTCCCTAGGCCACACTGGAAGAAGAATTATCTTGGGCCGTAAGTAAAATACACTAACAATAACCGATGAGCTTTAAAAAATTGCAAAAACTCCTCAGTTTTTAAGAAAGTTTACAAATTTGTCTTGGGCTGCCTTCAAAACCATCCTGAGCCACATGCGGCCTGTGGGCCAAGGGTTAGACAAGCTTGGTCTAGGGCAACCCCAAGAAGTGAAATAGACTAGCACTAGGGGGATCCTAAAGGAACATGCCAGTTAAACTCTCCTACCATACAGACAAAAAGTCTAAACTTTCTTTGAAGTTCAACTTTCCCTTGGGTTAAAGTGCCGGTGTGAGGAACGATAAGGGAATTAAGGCCAGAGTCTATGCCACTTATGGTAGCCTATGGAGACTCTAGGAGCATTCTGACATTTGAGTTCCTTGACACCAGTCTAACCAATGGGAGATGCCCAGGGGAAATCTTCCAGTTTCTTCAAAATCTTCTTATGTTCTCAAACATAGTAATACTCAACTTAGCTACAGCTTCTATTATCTTTTGGGGAGAAATATTCAACAAAAGCAATTAGGGTATAAAAACTCCTTTGGTCTGTTAGAAATTTACCTCCATTTCAGAACTAAAAAAATCAAAACAAAACAAAAAAAGGAAACCCTATTAACAGATCCTATATGCTATTATATCAAGGGTCCCAGGAAATGATTGCCTTTAACACTTGAGGGTTTCAGAATAAAACCTAGGGGAAATGCCTGGTGTCTCTAAACCTCAAGCAATTTGCTGTGGCTGCCAAGGCCTCCACAGAAAGCATTTTTCAATTGGTATATTTATACTTTCTTTACTTAGTATTGATTCTAAATAAGGATAAAACCCATCCTTGATGGGAAACCTATGAGTAAGAACAGATGAATTAAAGTTTGTTTTATCTTCCCACTTTCCTTTTGCTGTAGCCAAAAAAAGCCTTCCTTTCAGAGGGAAACGGGTTGTATTCTAGAGGCAGCAGTCATTGGTTTCAGAACAACTAAATGATAAAATGTTTGGGAAGAGTCTAGGGCAACAGGAGCATTGGGTTTGGGTGCAGTTCAGGCTTTCTAAACATTTCATCTATAAAACTTGGTAAAATCGGCCATCTTGAAAGTCTGCAAGTCTCTGAACATCATGGCCCAAGCTCTATATTGGTGCCTAGGCTTGACATTTTTAAATTCTGTATGCCTCTTAAAACACCTGCTTCTAAACCACTAATAAAATAGTACTCTAGCTCTCTCTCTCTCTCTCTTTCTCTCTCCTTTCCCCCTTCCCCTCTCTTGCCATTTCCCTCTCCCTCTCCATCTTCCTCTTTTTCTCCTTTTCCCTCTCCCTCTCTCTTTTGGATCTTGCAACAGACTGACTTTACCATAAATATTTGCGGATCAGCTATTTGTGGAACTAAGAATGATCTCTGGGTGATTTCCCATATGAGAGAAATTGGGTGGAGAGAATGAATGGCCAAGATATGACTGTGCAGACATCAGCTACTCACAGTGGTATATGTGTGCGTCTACATACACTGTGGACAAATATTGTGAAGTCAGACTTGCTCAGACAGGAACTGGTATCATTTTTCAAAATTATGGTAGAGCTTAAGTTGATCTTTGCTTCAGTTATGCAACCAGGTTTGTAAAGATACAGGGAAGTTTTGTCCATGCTTAAAATATTTAACAATCTTTTCTAACACTGGAGATTGACTTCCACCTGGACACATAATCTGCCCATATTTGCAGCCTATTCTCTGTATCTCACCACACAGCAACTCTCCCCTGCAAGTTGACCTTACTGAATCTTTGCTGATAGGGTTTTCATTCCTGATGTCCCCGTTTTCCCCGCTCCTCCCTTTCCTCTGTAATTCCATGTATTGTATATGATTCATTTTAAATGCCCTGAAGAAAACCTTCCCAAATCCTCTACCATTCAACTCTACCATTTTCCCTCCCTGAGTTCTATAATAATTTACTTGTACCTCTAATCCAGTGCTTATTCCATTCTACCTGACATTATGGTGAGATATTGAAAGAGAAATGCCAAGAGAATAGAAAGAAAACAGGCTTTAGAATTGCAGAGTGGGCTTTGGCTCTTGAAAATTTTAGCTGAAAAATGTCAGGCAAGTCATTAAATATTTTTGAGTCTCAGTTTTCTTCTCTCTAAAATTACCTTGCTGGTTTTTGTCAAGATAAAATGAGATAATATATGTAAAGAACCTAACACAATGCCTATTCAGTGATGAGTAATAAATATAAGCTGCTATCGATAAGAATTATATATGAATTGTATTCTTTTGTAGCTTTCTTAGTGATTTGAAGGGACTGGAAAACTGTATCTGTTTCAAAATTGTTTATTGAATAAAGAAATAACTCTCTCAACCTAATTTAAGTTCCTATTTTCCACATACAGCTGCCTCAAATATTTCATATCACGGTACCAAATGATAAGAACAGAAGTTTGTGATAAGTTAACCGGAGATATGATGATATGATGGTACAATTTTTGTAGGCCATTTAATTTATACATCCAGGTAGCAGCTCTACAGGCCAATACTTGAGATTTATCTATTAAATTGTATCTGTCTTGAAAATATTCTCTTCAGTGGGCACTGTACTTGGAGGGCAGCAATGATCAGTAGTAGCAGTTCATATTGATAATTATTGAGTGCCAATACGTGTCCTGCCCTGTGCATGGGGTTTTAGATGGATGATTTCATTCAAGCAATACTGATAATAATCTTAGAGGGTAAATAGTATGATCATCTTCATTTTGCAAAAATAAAAATGAAGACCAGAGAGATGAGATAACTAGCTCAGGGTGATAGATGTATAAGTTACAGATGCTGTGATCAAACCCCTGTAGCCTGACTTACCAAGTCTACTACAAGATTTTGTCCTTAGGGGTTTACACTCTAATATAATAAAGCCAATCAAGGTAGTGCAATACATGTTCTCTTCCAAAGAACTCTTAGGCAATTCAGAGGTCATAGGAGGTGCCATCTGAAAAGCAGTTGATTTGGCAGGCTTTCTCTTTCTTTTCCTCCAATGACTTCCTCAGTTACTTTGAAAGTTTCTTGACTAGTCATTGGGGGGTTTTCCCCTCACTTTCTCTTAGAGCTGCTATGCTTCATTTAGCAGAAGCTTTCAACTGAGAGGGAAAGTAGCAGTCTCTGGTCACATTTACTCATGCGGCCATCCAAAGAAATCAAACATTTGATTGTATTTGGAACGATGCTGCTTCTGGCCTCTGGTGAGGAACTGGATAACCCTTCTGCCATCTCTAATTTCTTGCAACTCTTCTTATAATGCCTTCCGCATAAACTTTGATTCTTTCAAGAGTGGTTCTGGAGGACCCAAAGAAAAAAGAATTAGTAAAGCAGTAGCTGGCTGGCCAGACTTATTCAGATCCTACATGTACAGCAGCATTTCTCTACGGTCACTTAAAGAGATCATTGGGATCCCCAAAAGAAAGAACAATGAAATAGTTGTCTTTCACCTGCCTGATATAGATCTTGACATTGCCCCACTATAGTGACTCATATTAGATTCTTTGCAAATAAGAGTTTTCCTTAGATTAAGGATTTCTGTTACATCGATATGTCAGTACCTTGTCTGAGGGGGTGCTTCCCTGATTAATGAATGCATTCACTCCTGATTGCCACTTGGTAGAAAGAGAGAGTAGGATTCTGACACAGAGATTTGAGGGAAGGAGTCCAAAGCAGGGGATGGAGAGAAGCTAAGGCATGCTAGAGGGCACTGATAACCAAGGGGAAGAGCATCCTCTATAGGTGGAAAAAAGGATCTCACAATGAGTTGGGAAATAACATGATAATTTCCCCTTTTACTTTAGGCTGGTTCCATTGACTTGCTTATGAATATTACTACCATTCTTTCATCCTTTATTAAGTGTTCTTTTCCAGACACAGTACAAGACAAATGACCAAATAAAAACAAAGAGAAAGGAAACTTGGTTCCCCCTTTAAGTTCATGATCTAGCAACTGACACGTTTGCACACAATGAACTACAGAGGGCCTGGTTTTAGAGGGGTAGTGCTTATACAGTGGCATGACCCATGGAACTTGTGTCCTATTTGTCTGGGTCCTGAGAAAGTGAGATGAAAGATGGCAGGGCAGGCATAGCTGGGATGCGAGGCAGAACTCCAGTTCAGCCCCTTGCTGCTGGAGTTGCCTTCTATCTGGCTTAGTTACGCAGAGACTGGGGAAACCTGCAGGCAGTGCACTGGCCTTGCAGTGTACTGGCCTTGCAACTATAAAATAGTTGTCTTTCACCTGCATGATATAGATCTTGACATTGCCCCACTATAGTGACTCATATTAGATTCTTTGCAAATAAAAGTTTTCCCTAGATTAAGGATTTCTGTTACATCGATATCTCAGTACCTTGTCTGAGGGGCTGCTTCCCTGATTAGTGAATACATTCATTCCTGATTGCACTTGGGAGAAAGAGAGAGTAGAAAGAGGAACTGGGGTTACCTGTTTTGCTGAATAAGTCTGGCCAACATGGGTGTGCAGATAGATAGTGAGAATGCTAGCAATTAGAGCTAACTTATTTTTTAAACTTTCTATGTGTCAGACACCATATGACCCCATTTAACAATCATGAAAACTCTGGAGTAAGTATTTTTATTATTCTGTATTGCAGATAGGAAAACTGATGAGGAGGGAAGTCAAGTAATATGCTAAAGGATACACCAGTGGCAGAGCTGGGGTTTCCTTGATTAAGCCTTAGGATGTTAAGCTAAGTTGGATTACTTAGTTGGATGCTCCTGGGTACCCAGTGCTTCATAACACAAGTAAGTGGAGTTCATTTTTGCAAGTAGCTCTGAGAGCACACTGTGGTATCCATCCAGAAGGGTCTTCGGGAACATTAACTGCAGAAAGTGGAAGCACATATGATCTGGGGATACATATAGTTCTCTGGTTTTGGGAGATAGAAGAAGAATTCAAGCAAAACAGGCCTCAGTGACATTAAGCAGTGGTTGGTAGCAGGTGTGTGATTAGAAAGACTAGGGATGGTGTCTTTCTCAGTGATTCAAGAAACTAAGTTTCATATCCTACTGATAATCTCATTTTGAAGAAGGGAAAGAGCGATGTATTCTAAGTTTCCCTTACTCTCTGTTCAGCTGCAAAGGCATCATTCTCATTATTTTCATGTTCAAATCCAATATGAGGATTAATTTAATAAGAAATAAATGGTATTTTTTCCCAATGGATAAGTTAAAACAAATATTTTTGTTTTGTCTCTGAGAAACTATAATGAAATAAATCTAGTCTTCCAAATGCAGATTTCACTATGTGGTTAGGTAGATAAACATGGCTATAGAAATTAGAACATCACAAACATTTAACAAACAGTAGCAAAAAGGACATTATAGTCAGCTATTGGAGAGAATATAATTCTGACCATGGCCGAAAGAGCAATATTTCCTTGATGGTAGCTTTACTCTCATGCTTTAGTAAATAAGTGACTTGATATACTACTCTGTAAGAGTGAGTTTTCAGTTGAAGATAGCATTCACTTTGTTTTCTGACATCAATACTAAAAGGCACTGATGTAAAACCTCTTATTATTTTAAGTTTTCTAAAGTATTGCCTTGATTTTAGATAAAAAAGGAGGACAAGTTAGGGTACAAAACAGATGACTGACTATTCTACACACAAGTTTTGGGTGTTTCTTCAAAATAAGGGTGTGTCTTTGAAAAAATATGGTCATTTTCCAAGCTGTGTGTCCTCCGGCATTTTTAGTGAATTGAGTTGAAGAGAACCCTCTCAAGCCAGGTTTCTCCAGGATATTCTTTTTTGCCCTCTTTTCGGCCCTCTATTTATCATATCAATCGTTTTGTATATTTAAGTAGTTGGCATATTTCACACTGGTAACTACATTTTATAGGAAGGAATAGTTATATGTATGCAGAAACTAATCTGTGAAGCTATGAAGATTAGCAAAGAATTTTCTAGATATAAAATTAATATAAAACATCAGGTTTTAGAAGATACACAGCCATAAATATTACGTTTAAGCACTTGGTAGATAGTGTTCTAGCGAGTAGAGATCCCATGTACTTTACTTTTAAAAACATTTCATCATAAAATTAATACAGGATGGGTACGGTAGCTTATGCATATAATCTCAGCACTCTCGGGGGGCTGAGGCAGGGGGATCACTTGAGGCCAGGAGTTTAAGACCAGCCTGGCCAACATGGCAAAACCCTCTCTCTACTAAAAATACATAAATTAGTTGGATGTGGTGGCATATGCCTGTAATCACAGCTACTTAGGAGGCTGAGGCAGGAGAATTGCTCGCTTGAACTGCGGGAGTGGAAGTTGCAATGAGCCAAAATCATGCCATTGCACTCCAGCTGGGGTTACAGAGCAAGACTCTGTCTCATAATAATAATAACAATTTGAAACTTAATACCTTCTGATTACAATAAATGAACAATGTAGAGCTATCTTTACGACTTATATAAAATAAAAAATGAGGCTCTCCTTCTCATCTATCAACCCCAATCCTACTCCTTTTCCAAGAGTGCGATGTGTGTCATTTTAGACTTGTTTTCTGTGCCTTAACACATACCTAGATTATTTTTAAAGTAAAATGTAATAACACTATATGTGCTGTTTTGTTATTTAGCTAACATTTTTGAGACCCACCTTTTTTTTTTTTAGGAAAAAAAAATCAGCTGTGTGGCATTTATGTTTGTTAATTATCACAGACTTAGCAGCTGAAATCACCACACATTTATTATCTCACAGTTGTGGGTCAGAGGTCTGGGAGGCTTGGATTTGTTCTTTGCTTATCATCTTACAAGGCCAAAGTCAAGGTGTCTAGCACACTGGGCTCTTATCTGGAGGGCCTGGGGAAGAACCTGCTTATTCAGGCTGTCGGTAGAGTCTAGTTCCTTTTGGTTGTAACAATGAAGCACTTATTTCTTAGTTGACTTTCAGCCAGGAGCTGTTGTCAGCTTCAAGAAGCCACTTGCGCCTCTGTCATGTGTGTGGCCTTCTTCATATTATATCCAATATGTATGTATCCCATGGTTTCTACTAGTATGTTATGCTCACATTTCAAGTCATAATGTATTAATCTTATCAGCATTGTGTTTCTTCTGATAATCTTTAAATCTTTTTAATATCTTAGTCCTTTCATTTGGGTTTAGAATGAAATACGTAGCTTATTATTTTTTTCCAAATAGATGTCTACTTCTTCTAATTCCATTTTGAATAGTCCATTATTTTCCCTCCAAATTACAGTGTCACTTTTATAACAACTTTATATTTTGATTTACTACATTATTATTTTGATGCAGAACTTCCTGACTATTTTGGGGCAGGTACTTTTTTGGTTAACTTTAGGATCAGCAAATAAATGTCTATTTGAAAAATCTGATTGAAGTTTTGATTGAAATCACATAGTATATGTAGATTCACTAGAGTAGAGAGAATCATCTTTTAAATCAAGGATGTCTGCTCAAACAATATCTGCCAGTATGTAATATTATCAAGAACTGGTACCTCTAAAATGTTTGGTTGCTCAACATGCTCCCAAAGTTAACACTGAAGAAAAATACTCCTCTTCCATATCTTAAAGTCACATCCAAAGCCTGCCCTATTTCATCTACAAAATGAACTTATGACACTGAGGTGTTTTGCTGGTTAAATTCTGGGCGTAACATTGAAGAAGCCTTGCTGTCTGGCTCTAGACTTAGTGAAAGTAGCCTGGAGAGGTGATTCCCAATGGGATAACTGCACAAGGCGAGAGTGTTAGAAAAACTCTGGAAACCGAGAACTAGATTGATTAGATGAGAATATAACATTTTCATTGAAGATGAATTATGTTGAACTGTATAGTTTTTCTCTGAGGCTATGCAAGCACACCAGCAAGAGTGCTACCCAATTCAGCTCATTCTCATTCAGGAAAATTACCAGCAAAATTCAACAATAAACTTTTAAACTTTTCCTTCCTTCCTTTCATTTATTTCCTTTCTTCTAACAATACCTTAATTTATCTTCAAAAGATTGGAGAAATTCTCTGTACCATTGTCCAAAGTGTGGTTTTTACTTATTGGAGCATTGTATTTCTTACAAATTTTAAGCAATTTACATTTCAAAACAGCTTTAGGTAAATAAATTTTTGTATATTTATATAGTGTTGTATTACATAGCATTTTAAATCAAGGCGAGATTTCAGATGTAATGATACGAAGAGAACTGAATCGATCTGTAGGACAGCATATATAATATGATCCGCTTTTGTTTAAATAATTTATTTATTATATATACACACACATATAGACATACCTAAAGAAATATGAAAAAAAAATCACTGAATCTTACAGTTGGGAAGTGTAAAATGTGACTTCTACCTTACACATATTTGTCATTTGAAAATTTTACAATAAGTGTATGTAACTTTCATAATAAAAAACAATAAATATTCAATTTGTTAAATACATTTTTAGATTATTTATTAATGATCTTACCTTCTACGATAAGTAATCTTTTCTCATTATCATAGGTAATTGAGAGTTGACTAGCCTCAAAATTCTTGTGTTTTCTTCCATTACAGCACTATCTATAGATATAACTCAGAATTATCATCATCATCACCAGAATCTCCTGAACTATTATTAAGTGCCAGCAACATAACTATTATACATAAATTGCCTCATTTAATCTTCATAATATTCCTTTGGGTTAGATATTATTTCCATTTTACAGATAAGGAAACACAAATTTTAGAGAGAGTACATGAATTGCTAAAGCTCCTCAGCCAGTTAACATAGTGGGAAGTCAATTTTAGTCTCTGACTCCAACCCTGGCCTCCCTCAGTACCATACAGAACAATATATTTAAATTGATAAACACAATCTAGAGTGACTTTTCAGAATTCAAAGCCACAACTTTCCCATTTTTTTTGGTAGATTAATTTAGTAGGTGTGAAAGGAAATTAAATCTTGGGACCCCAAACTCATTAAGCCAAAGGGAAAAGTCAAGCTGGGAACTGGGTCGTGCAAACCTGCCTCCCGTTTTGGTTCCTAAATAAGGTGGTTACAAGATGAAAAGCTAAACGTCTCCTTCGTATTTTTCCCACAAGGAAATTACTAGTGAGCTGCAAGATCTTTAAGGTGTTTCTGTTAAAATTTCACCATGGCAATGTAAATTGATAGCTTATCTTTACAGGTGCAGTCATCCCACCTGCCCACCAGACACAAATGCATATCTGATAGTTCCCCTTCCCCATTTCGTCTATGTTATCTTATGTAAAGTGTAGATTCCCTGCATTCTTCCTCTACCCCATCTGTCTATATCATTTTCTGTAAAAAAAAAAAAATGCAGATTCACTGAGCCAGACAAAAGCATGAATGGCTATTTTTCCCTACCCACCTCTTATGTGAAAATTTTGTATTTCTTAATATCTCACTCTTTCTCCTTTAAATTCGGAGCCCTTAAAATCATCTTTGGAGAAAAGCATAGACGTTTCTCCCAGTTGTGTGTCCTTAACTTTGTCAGACAAAACCTCTAAAATGATTGAGGCCTGTCTCGTCATTTTTACCGATTGACATCAGGCTGCCAAACCAAATTGTGGGGACTCAGGGAGAGAACCATTCACTGCAGCCAGGAAAAACAGTATCCCTTAAATGTGGTCTCAATCTAATATACAATGTCTGTTTACTAAATGGATAGGTAATACTAAGAAATGTTGCTCCAGGATCAGATTTTTTACATGCTGAAAGAACTAGCTTTACAATGCATTTCTTTGGGATATGCTGAGTCCATGGCCGAATAGGAAGAACAGCCTGTTTTGCAAAGTAAATATTTTGGCAACAGGACGTTGTGTTTTGTGTTTCAGAACCTAGCTGGTTGAAACTCAAAAGGTCTAGAATATGGACTGAAGCGGGACTTCAGCTGGCATGGATCAATTGTTATATTTCCTCTGAAATGCAAATACAGAGGGGAAACAAACATGAGTGGCCTCAAAGAATAAAGAGATTCTTAGCTTTGTTTTCTTCAGTTGGACTCTGTATCCTTCTCAATTGACTGATTGTGGGTGTGTGTGTGTGTGTGTGTGTGTGTGTGTGTGTAATTCTGTGCCATTCATTACTGATGTTCTTAGAGAATTTCCTTGTTTACAAAGAGGCTTGGAGGTATTCTCTAATTTAGTTTTAAAAATAAGACAAAACCAATTAACACTAAATAAAATTCAAATGTGGCCCAAGGGAAAGAGAAGTAGGAGGAAGGTGACTTGAGCTCTTACTTTCGCCTTCCTTCCTCCCTTTGAGCTCACTTTGTCTGTCCACAGTGCTTTTTCAGGTACCAGCTGGAATGAGAAAGCTAAGATAAAATATCTGGACAATAAAGAGAAGGTTTGCCAGAATTCGTTTCATCACACACTTTTTTTTTGATATTAACATATGCCACTTATTTACATTTAAATGGAAATCAGCTGCACTAGAGGATACATGGCCAATGTATATGAATTTCCTTCAGAAGGAAGAGTTTTGAAACCTAAAAAAGAAACTATATAATAGTCCTCAACTGATTACCAAGAAATTTAGCAGGCAAGCCTCCTAGTTCCTGTGCTTTGGAAAATATTTGCATAGCATAGACCTGATTTGGGGCATTAATATCTTTGTAAAGCTTCGTGAAATTTCATCTATTTTTACATAAACTGCAAATTTAAATAAACTTCCAGTGGGATTTGATAACTTAAAGACTTAGAATATCTTTTGGGTTTCAATGTGGATGTGTGGCTCACTAAGACCCACCTCCAAGAATGCTGCTCGAAGGCTCTCTATTCAGGTTGAAGCTATTTATCACATGACCAAAGTAGAGTTCTTGCCCAGAGAGACTTACGATGGTAGGAAGAACCCAGGACAGCTGCAGAAAGCAGCCTAAGCAAAACTAAATCTTGGCTAACTTCAGAAACATTTTAAATGAGAAAAAGGAGTTAGGTGTCCAGGTATTGCTTCTTGAATTCGGAGATGGAGTCTCTCTTCATCTTACCCAAATACTGAAGTATCAAAGAACTGGATGGATTAATTTCAAGATGCAAAGGGCCCTTACAAAAGGATGTGAGGATGGACGAAGGGATCTGGAGGATACTGTCTCTTCTGTTCTCTTTGTATGCACACTGAGGCTCTTAAGTCCCATGAAGTCTCCCCCAAAATAGGAGAAATCATTAAT